AGGACGGACATCTGGGCGGGCTGGAGGTGCTGCTCGCAAATGTGGAGGCACATAACCGCTCTTTGCGTGTCCATTTGTAGTCGATGATTGCGGAACGGTGTCGGTCCCCCCGGAAGAACCACTATTATTCCACTGTTCCGGCGCTTTCCAGTTCTGCGATGTTCCTATCTTCGCATGTGCATCATTGACAGTCGGTGTTCTGGGCCCCCATTGATCAATCTGATTCGGCCGTGCCGGAGCCTTTCCTTTCTGCGGCCGTTAGTTACCATCATTTCATGCGTAGAAACATAGACGCGGGGAGGATAGGTACTTACATTGTTAGGTCTCTGCGGCCAACCGTGACGAGGGTTGTACTCGTGTGTCGTGTTCACCCGATCCGCTGCCGCAGGCCCGGATACCGGGTGCCTCGGAGGAGGCGGTGGTTGAGGAGGCGGAGGCTGTTGTGTCGACTTCTGTCCGTGTTGACTGCTACTGTTGCCGCTGCTCTGCGCGGGGTTGCCGTTCTGTATATGGTCAGAATCTGCACAAAGTACGGTGAGCGGGACACAAACGTTATTCTGGGTTGGGGGCACATGTGGTCTCTCGCCATAGGCACTGGCTGCCTGAGGGGTTGAGGAGGCGATGGCGCTGGTGCTGGGTTGGGGGTTGGGCGCACGGGTTTTCCAGTTCTACATACAAGACGTTAGCGCCTTGACGTCTCAGGGCGAGCGCGGAGTGCAGGGGTATAGCAAAACAAAGCAAACAAACATTATGACGCCTCCCCGGCTTCGGCACATTTCCATTCTTCGGCGTCGGTCCCTGTGGCGGCACATTTCCTGTCGGTCCCTGTGGCGGCACGGATTCCAGCGAGCGCGCTTCCGCCTCTCTAATCACCGCATCCGTGTAGTCCGTGTCCCTATTCTGTATTACCTCGCCGTCAGCCCAGTCCACAGCTCAACCTCCGTTTCAACAAAGACGAACACGTACCGGCGCTGGCGTTTTGAAGTGGCGGTGTGACTGTCGCGTCGGAGCTTGTTCGCTAGCCATCGTGCTGGCGTCGCCGTGCAAGAACTTACACGACTCACCGTAGCGGCAGTGGCCCCTAGCGTAATATCTGCAGGCGTGTTGGAATCTCGGTTGCGACATCGCTCTTGTGTCGTGTCGGGTCGTGTCGAGTCGTATCGGTTCGTTGCGGTCGTGGTCGTTATCGTGGTCGTGGTCGTTATCGTGGTCGTGGGATGAGGTTGAGGGGAAGACGGTGGCGATGGCGACGGGAGCTACTCTAGGCTGCGTTGACGCATCAGTTACCGTGTGCGTCACCGGTGGTACAAAGCTCTGTGCGCTGCCTGCCCCACACGTCGCGACGCTGGGCTGGGTGGGGCGCTTGTAACCTAAAATGTTTGGTGTGGTTTGGCAGGCAACGGGAGAAGCCCATGTGGTGAGCCTCAATCGGAGACCCGGATCTAGGTACATAGAAATCCATGCTAATAGAAAAGCCGAACGATTTGGATAGCTGCAGGGCCAAGCAGAACTAGCCGTTGAATCCGCAACTTTATGTAGAGAAAACGCTCCCGTGAGCGATTGAATCGCATTGTTTCCGAGACGCTTCTTTTTCGTTCTTCCGTTCATGGAGAGTGCATCCTGTGGCCTAACAACCACTGAAACGCTTGCCAGTAGCTATCAATCGTACCATGCCGACATAGAGCAATGCCCTTGGTGGTGTTTATCTATTGAGTTTTGCGCTTCTCGGTGCGGATGTTTGACAAATAGCTCCAGGTTCAGAATAGTCGCTGATGATGATCCTTTCGAGCTTATGTCTGGTAAGATATGTAGGGATTGCCCAGTATTTATTTGAATGTAGAGAGCTATTTTCTGTGGTCTTGTAACAATTCGACGGTATTGCTCGTGCCTGGCTTTGAAACGAACGAACGACGAAATCGCCGGCTGGGTACGGGACTATATCGCTTTCGGGGATCGAAGAAGACTGGCCGCAGGAGTATAGAGCTAGATGTAAAGTAAGTAAGATTGCACAAATCATACGGACCGGACCTATCGACCTGAAGCAGATTTATCACATTTTTTTCAGAGGATAGATCCACAGTAGAGAGGAAATGAAGCAACGGTTATGAGACGGTATGGGGGACAGACTTTGGTAGATAGAAGTGTCTCAAGCTTCCCACAACGTGTACAACAAACCACCGACCTCGTGAAGCTGGCGATCTTCTGGCAGGCTATCTGTGGAAGAAACAACTTGAAGAGAGTGATGAATTGAAGGATAGTGAGATGGGCATCTTGATGCTAATACCGCTTTGATGATGAACGGCAGAAGAGTCTGATGAAGAAGTGATGAACAGAAGGAGGCGATGAGAGGAAGCAGAAAAATATAAGTGCGCGTAAATCATGACGTATGGGCGGGCACAAACGTCAAAACCGAATCACAACCGGTGCAGATGCGCTATCTTCAAACCATGCATATATGTGCTTAGTTATATACGAACTCGAAGCCGTTAGAATAAATACAATTCAAAGAATAACCGTTTGAGTCTATTTCCTAAGTAATCATAGTTTTCTTCCCGGGAGTCTCTCACCGAGATCTCTGGCTGGGCACACTAAAATGGTCAAAAAAGATGATTTCGCCACCGGGAATTGAACCCGGGTCTGGCCGGACCTGTGAAGGAACAGAACTCTGTTTGAGAGCGGCCGATGCTAGCCACTACACCATGGCGGATCACATAAACTCACTCGAATAGGAACTTATTTGATCACATCCTGTGCACTTCTTTCAGTGGATTGCCTTCGTTTCTCTATGTTGGTTGTGGGATTGACGAGAGCTGTGTTTGCATGAGACTGGCCCAATAATTTTCGAATAGGAGACGTGTATAATATCGTTGAATATGACCCTCGTCCGCAAACAGATCAGAAAAAAATATGAAAAACGTTCAGAAGTCTGGGAACGAGACAATGTAAAGGGATTTGAATCGTATTTGCTTAGTTTTTATGGCATTCCACACGAACGCAGGTATAGTTTAGACTGTGGACAACGCTAGATAAGTTACAGTTGCAATTTCCGGTCATGACAAAATATTCAGGAACACATGAATCTACTACAGCCCGACACGCGTCAATCATGGTCTGTGAACCATCAAGACACCCTTTGAAGAGTGTAGAAGCGCGTAGAGGGTGCAATTTATCGGGAACACGAGGGTTTAAGTGCAACTTCCTGCATGTATCTACGTTATACCAATTATTAGCTGTTTGTGTGTGGAAAACAGGCCTTGTGGGTGCTCTCGTCGTCGAAGCTTCAGAATATTTACCAATAAAGCGACACGTTTGATAGTATCCCGTACATGTCAGAACAAGGCATAGTTGTTGTCGTGCATAGGGTCGGGGAGTGACGGGATGGTGGTGACTGCACAGCGACTGAGAGGACGGATGTCGGTTCATGTTGGTTTGTAGACTGCCTGTGATGAGCAGGTGTCTATCACAGAAACACTATCACCTCGGTAGCAGATAAAAAGCACAAGTATCTATGGAACGGTGCAGCGCGACTTGTGGCCGCCTTTTTGTCAATCTCAGCAGATGTCGTTACACACAGGTGACGGCCTATATATCTACGCCCGGCTAACGGAACATACGATCCGCCATGGTGTAGTGGCTAGCATCGGCCGCTCTCATACAGAGTTCCTCTTAGTAGGTCCGGCCAGACCCGGGTTCAATTCCCGGTGGCGGAAGTATCTTTTTGGCGGTGGCTCGTGGACTCCTGCGTGGAAATGCACGCGAAGAAAATATGCGTTTTGCGAAAAACAAAGATTGTAGCGATTCATTTTAGTCAAAATTGCGTCTATGCGTCTCTGGTATATGCTAGGAGTCTCTTTTTAATAGAGAGGGGGTTGACCAGCATAGAAACCAAAAGTGTGCACAGGGGCTTACCAGCGTCCGCCGTGGTCCGAACCGCCATCCTATGGCCACATTCCGCAGATACCAACCTCGTTTCACAGCGATCAGCTCGGGAAACTGAGGAGGGTTCTGAATGCAGAAACAGATGACGGGCACTTCGTCTACTACGGTACGCTTTCAGCTTCGAAGTGGGTGAAGAGATTTGGGATTTATGGGGCAGCGAGCAAGGACCCGCCTGATGTGACACAAGACAAAAAGTGTGCACAGGGGCCTACTAGCATCCGCCGTGGATCGAACCGCCATCCTAGACAACACCCCCAGACACCAACCTCCCCGGGAAACTTGGAATCCATTGATGCCAGAACAGATGATGGAGCAGTCGTCCACTACGTGATGCGTTCAGCTTCGGGAGGGGCAAAGCGATTCAGGCTGTATGGTGCAGCGAGCAAGGACCCGCCTGATGTGACACAAAACAAAACAAATGGAACAGGAACAGAGCTTTGCATCGCCTATGACTGAAGCACCACCCTCATGAAAATGGCATACCGCAGGCAGTGCTGAGTCACAAAATCTGCGGCCGTCTAACTGATCATCAGTACAGACTGCGACTAATGTGCAGCGAGTCAGCGTGGAGGAGATAGCGAAGGACGGATAGGCTCTTGCTACTACTGCTCCACCGGGTCCTGTACGACCGACACAACCTGCCGTTAACACACACTCTCGCTCGCCAACGTGCCCTTCGCCCATCGAGACGTTTGTGACGCTGCGTCAACTGTACCGTGTACGTGATGTATCGACACTGCCAAAGGTTCACTACCTCAACGGAGTTGTCGCTCGACTTTGCACTGTCGTAGCGGTCGCATAAATTGCGCAGTTGTACTCACTGTATTTCTCTCATTCAACAATGCTTCCCACGTCCCACCCCACTCCTCAACAGTCACGGGCTAATATAGATGCAATATAACACACTATTATTACCATCCGTTTCACACACCTTGCAACATAATCCGCATTCCCACCTGTCGCCGCACTCAACACTGAACACACCTCACCCCAGTCCCCACCCACGAATCAATAAAGTACATTGGTACACAACTGTAACACTCACGAGTGAGTCCATGTGATCCGCCATGGTGTAGTGGCTAGCATCGGCCGCTCTCAACAGAGCTTCACTGTTCCTCAGTGGTCCGGCCAGACCCGGGTTCAATTCCCGGTGGCGGAATCATCTTTTTTGCTCCCTCTCTCAGCTCATTCAAACGCAAAACTACAAGGTCGTCGTGGTTGTTTTTCGAAAGTATGAAAGCGGGTAGGTATGGGATGGTGATGCAGGGTCCTGGGCCTAACCGAACCCAACGCTTAGTAATTTATCACCTGTATTGGATAATCCGCGTTTACAAACGGTAGATTAGAGAATGAGATATTCCGTTCCTTCTTATTTATTGCAAATGTTCGCTCAGATATTACAATAGATGCACCAGTAAAGCTCCATCGCCGCCTGCCAATACCCCTGCCAGCCTCAGAGCCACACTCCTCGTTGGCAACTGCACGAACTTGTAATAGTCGTGGGGACCAAAATTCATCAATCATGTGTACAATGTGTTTGTAAATCCATACCCCAACTCCCTAATGACAGAATCTAAGAATAAGTCGCCGCTTCTATTCCAGGAGTACGTCTGTCTGCTGGGCTGGCGATGTTCTTGCTTAGTAAGGTCGCGATCTTTGGAGTATCACTCGCTTTAGGTGTACAAGGGAAGTCAATTCTGACATTGAGCATGGTGAATTTTGCAAACCGGCGTAATGGATTTTACAAAGAGGGGTAATTGCTTCAATCTTCGGCCAATTCATCTCTTGGCGCAAGCATAAAAAGGCAAGAAAAGTTTCTAAACTTTTTGGATTCTATTCTTTGGTTGACTTTGGAAACATGAATATTGGACATATTACGCGCGAAGATAACACGGCCTCAGCATGTATCAGAGTCGCTAGCCAGTGCCTGCCTGTCTCTATTTCAAATTGCAATCACTCGTTTTGGATGGACTCGTTCAATGCGGAGTTTACGGTTCGTGTTACACAAACGTGGAGAAGAAAATCAATTGTGTTGCTAAAATGTGGTGCCTAAGAAACTCGTGTACCAATGATCATAACCCTCGCGTCCTCCCACCATCCACCAGGCCCAATCGTTTAAACTCAACACACCACCTACGCCGCCAACACCCCTAAAGCCGGCGTCGGCACCGCCACCGCGCCCGCCGCCTGACTCGGCCGTGGCTGCACAATATGCGCGTCCGGGCGCACTTCAACAACCTTCTGCACAGCACTCGGCAAGCTCCCTAGCAGCACCTGCAGCCTCTCAATATCTCTACACGGCGCCGCCACGCCCGGCCCCTTCGCCTCTCTGCGCTCCCTCTTCTCCCTCTCAGATTCCGCACTCCCTGGCCCACCTTCGACCTCGGGGACCTCGCCGAACAGCGCACGTAGCCGTGACCTGTGACGGTCAAGGTTGAAGCGGATCAGAAACTGGTCAACCGCGCGCCAGCCTGATTCGAGCGCGGAGACGATCCAGCCGTGGTTGGAGCTGAACGCCTCGCCGGCAATGAACAGGAGGCCCTCGGCTGCAGGCCGTGTGAGCAGCGGGTAGAGAGTGGTGAATTGGCCCGGCCTGAAGCCCGTGCAGGCGCCGGCGGCGAGGGGGTCGCGGTACCAGTCGTACGAATGGTGCGTGAGGTACAGCTGCTGCAGGCGCTCGTAGGTGATTTTGCCCTCGTGGAGCCGGGCAAGCCCGCGCAGCAGGAGCTCCTTCAATTCATCTTCGCCATTCGGCGTGTCGCGGGACAGCAACGAGCCGAGACGGTGCGCGTCCTCCGTCCACGCGTAGCTGCACAGCAGCACGGCGGGCTGGCCGGGCGGGTCGTGGATGTTGTATGACGGGTACACGCAGTTGCGCAGCGGCTCGTCGGTGGTCCCGATTCCGCCCGACGTGATGCCGAGCTCGATCCACCACGCGCGCGCGAACTTGATGGCGACTTTTGTGGCGGGCGTGAGGTGGAGCGAGCGGATGGCCGTGCGATGGCCCCAGTTCAGCGCGGCGTCGTCGAGGTCCATGCGTTGCATGCAGCTGAGCGTTGTGGTGAGGAAGACCGCCGAGTAGTCGCGCGGGGTGGGCTCGCCAACGACCGAGACTGCCATGGGGCGGGGGACGGTGGGGTAGTTTGTGAGCGCGATGCGCGTGACGGTTTTGCCCATCACAGGCGGAGAGGAGAGCATTTCCGCAGTGTTTTCGGCGAGGAGCTGGGTCCCGCCCTCGATGCACCGCCAGTGCTGCGTGTTGAAGTCGATGGTTTGGAAGACGCCCTCGGGAAAGCCGACGCTGAAGAGATCGGTTGTGCCGGCGAAGGCTTCGAGGTATTCGATTATCTCCGGGGTGTAATAGGGGCTGTGTGGTTCTTAGGGCTGTGGGGACTGGAAGAGCGGAGGGGTAGGGGGATGTGAGAATACTCACCGCCGTGTCTTCAAGTGCTCGCGCGTGCTCAGGTCGTCCTGCGACATCAGCACTTTCAACGCCGTCTCCTTGGCACGCAGCGACTTTGCGTCGCGCATCATGGTCAGGTACGGCTCCATCGCGGCCTGGATTAAGTCGCCGGGGTCTTCCTTTGGGAGCCTGCGCAATCACCATATCAGCATCAGGGTCAACATCAACATCCACGTCAACATCGCTGGCTGAGAGGAGGATACATACGCGCCCTGCGTCTCAACGTTAAATGGATTCGTCTCCCACGGCACTTTTCCCTTCATCTGGCACACGTTGTTGTAGCGGATCGGGACGTTGACGGAGCCAGCACTCTGGTAGAACGGCACCGTCAAGGTGCTGGTTGCGCGGCAGTGCTCGAAGAACCTACCTCACTCGTCAGCAAATTCCTCCCACCACCCCCCCCTCTCTCCTCCCAACACACGCCCCAGGACAACCTACCGGTCCATCATATGATTATCTGGAAACCGCATCGCGCCGACATCATAATAATCATGCCCCCTTATCTCCTCACACGGCTTCTGTGGCAAACAGCTCCCATGCGCACGACACGGCAACGCAGCCTTGCAACAGCTTGCTGCGCCCGCCGTCGCCTTCTCGGGGTCATCATGCTCCCCGCAAGCCTCGGCGCGCTTGCACTCGCGCTCGCTGTCGCAGTCGTCGTGCGGGATACAGCCCTTATGGGCTACACAGCGGCCATGCGTTTCGTCGGAACACACCCGGTGGGCCTTGCAGCGGCCGTGCTCCTGGCATACCTCGTGCGGATCTGCGGGGCGCTCGGTAAAGTGGTGGGTGTAGCAGCGCCCGCCGAGACGCGAGGGGTTGGCCTCGAGGATCTCGTAGGATACGTCGGGGATGGCGAGGGCGTCGAGGATGAACGCGATGTAGAGACCGCAGATTCCGCCACCGACGATGCCGAGTGAGATGGGGGAGGGCGGGACGGTGTACTTGAAGGAGTCGGGGATTGGTGGGAGCGTGTCGGGCGTTATCCAGGACGTCGAGGTGAGCGGGGGTGCAGTGGTAGGGGCGACGGTGGCGGGGTCAGCGGTGGCGGGCGCGTCTGGCGCCTTGACTTCTGGCTCCGCGGGCGCGGGCGCGGGCTCGTCGTCGCCCAACACGGCCTTGACCACCTCGACGCCAAACCACAGCGCGGACACAAGCGCCACATCGACGGCAATATCAGCCAGCTTCACGCCCTCCCCCGCTGCGGCCGTCCCTGCAGCCGCCACTGTCCCTCCAGCAGCTGCTGCGGCACCGTCGATCGCAGTCTTTTTCTCGACCGCCACCGCCACCGCCGGCTTCTCTTCGACGGCCGCCGCCGCTGCCGCTGCCGCCTCGCCGGGAAGGTGCAGCGCGTCGCCGCCGTACTTGATGCTCTTCACAAGCGTGGGCTTTGCGGTGTCCTCGTTCGGACCCGGCGAGAGCGTCGGGATCAGCTGTAGCCCGGAGCGCTTGTGCTCGCGCAGCTCTGCGGCGAGTTGGTCGCGGACTATGGTGCGCGCCCAGATTGTGGAGGCGCTGGGGGTTGGGCGACCCATTCTGGTGCTGGTGGTGGCAGGTGGGAGGCGTGTGGGTAGTGAGTGATTTGTCGGTGATATGGGGATGGGGATGGGAGGAGAGTGAGGAATGAGAGGGAGAAGGAGTGGTGGGGGGCAGTGGGGTATATATATACCCAGCTCGCCGTGCGGACACACCCCACACCGGGCAATCGGTCAACGAGGAACGCTCCGCAGATCCTCCATGCAAGTCCTCGCCAATCTCGCCATCCATCGAAAGCCGCACTCCACGCGTTCACGCTCAGCGCATTGCATCCACCCCCAGTTCCAACCACACCAGTCGGAGACCATCTGCACAGGCCTGCAGCATGGTCTACACCTGCACGCCCGATCCAGCCCACCAGCCGACTGGAATTTGTGTTGCTATATCCTGTCGGCCGAGGCGTATTCTGCTACAGGTGGGTCTCAGACGCGTATATTGGTGTATGAGTGCTGATCGAAAGTTACGGGAAGATGCTTTGGATTTCGTGCGTTCATAGTATACTACGGCGTTTCCCGTAGCGATAGTACAATGTGAGGATTCTTGCAGATGTAACAAGCAGATATTGAGAGGTGCATGATCGACTGGACGCACTGCTGAGTTTGGCCAGGTTCTCAGCTGGCGAGTAATCGAAACGCGACCAGTCGCTCCCGTGCCTCGCTATCGAATCTGAGTCGAACCGCTGGAATTACAGAGCTCGCCGTGTCTCCAAAGAGTCACCATAAACACCCAAAAGCACACAGTAGACTACCGATTTTTGTGGCACAGAAAGTTGAGTTTGCCAGTATCAGCTGTCCTGTCCAACCGTTGTTTCATTGCAAAACGCAGCCCATATCCCTTGCGCAACATCAAGCTTCGCCTGCAGACTGCAGTACACCCCGCATTCCCTTTGCATCCTACGACTCCTACAATTCGCCTACAGCACGCACTCGCTCGTCCAACCGTGTTAGGACGTGTTGCGCAGTACCTACACCAGTTCCCGGCCGAGTCAGTGCCCAAAGCCCTTATCGCAGCTGAACTCAGACACAGAGAAAAGCAAGCAGCCATAGCGGGGTGGTTCGCATGTGTGTCTCTCGTATTCACTGTGGGAGCGTCCAACTGCGGTGGCCGGTCGTAGAAACAAGCATCGATCGACAGTGCGGCGCGGGGGCGGGGCGGATGCAAGCGAGAGATGGAGGCGAGACGGGAGATCGTGTAACGACGCCCAGCTGAGTCTGCCCAGCGTCGTGATAATTGAGCGGAGCTGGCTAATGGCAGGATTGGTTCCCCGGAAACACCTACGTCGTGGCATAGCGCGGGAGATAGCTCAATGTTCCACACTATGTACTGCGAAGGTCCTACGAAATTGCGGGAGTGGAACACTTCCCGTAGCGTCTGAAGCTCACTTCCAAACCTCGCAGTCACAACAACCTAATTATAATGGTTATTCATCGAATGCTTGGATTCAATGAACAGATATTAAATTATTTGAGGTCCACCTTTCAAAAACACTTTGTAACCGCTGAAGTTTGTTTCCTTTAGAAGGCCTCCAGATCGTCAAGGGGAATTTTCCGGTAGGTACGCAAAATCAGACAAACTTGCCGCAATCAATCAATCCACAATGTCTTAGAAAATACCAGCTGAACTTCTGCACGGCAGACAAAGCGGCTAGGGACGTTACACCGGCGATCGACGTCTCTGGTCGTCGCACGGGCGTAGAGTCGCGTCTTTACATGCCTACTGTTGCGTTACAAAAGGTTGATTGTGTTTCATTGAACAATTGTATGCACAGCTGAAGACAGGGAGAAGAGAAGACCAGAAGAAGGGTGATAGGACGCTGTGAGAGCTGCGCCTGAGTGATTGAAACTGAATGACAACCGGTGCAGAATTACAAGAACACAGCCGTTGGCAAAATGTACAATGTATAGACTCAGTGCGCAAGCCACCACTCCCCGCCGCCCTGATCTGGACAAACCGTTGTCACGCAGCAAGCCACTCATGTAAAACTCGCTCCGAACGCCGCACCGCCGCCCGCAACCGCAATCCAATGTCGCACCGGGAACCTGCCCGCCATTGGACACATGTGGAATCACGCACGCACGCGCACGCGCATGAGGCATTCATGCATTCCATCGGCCGAGACATACTCCCCACAAACTCTTGATTTGGTCGCGATGATGGCGTACAGCGGGGGCTGTGGGATCGGCTAGCTCACTTGCAGAGCGTTGCTTTTAGAAACAGAGCGCATGAGGATGTATCTGATATTGGGTTGTTGAGTTGGATTGGGTTGGAGGACTTAGGGGATGAACGATTATGGCGGGGCTTGCATGCGGAACCTGCGTCCCAGTGCTCGGATTGGACTTGCACTGGGGGCCGTCTTGGGGGAATCATCCATCCAACCTTCCAGACCTAGGGAGTGGCCGTGCTGCTTGGACTTACGGAGGGCAGAGGCTGGGTTTTCGGGGAATCAATGGCGGTCAATTGTCGAATGAATGAATACACGATTTTCAGTGTCCACCACTGTGCGTTGTTTTTTCATAGCCGAGAATAAAAGCGCACTAGCTGCTACTCCTAATACTCAAAATAAATTCTGAGTAGTGTTAGGGAGTGCCGCGATCTTAGATCATTGCACTTTCTATCACACACTGCTTACCTAGCCATCACCGACGACAACCATAATTGTACATGGCAGGTCGACACGAGGAGAAAATTTTTACTGTGCTTTCGAGCTGGGCAAAAAGAAAATTCCGCCACCGGGAATTGAACCCAGGTCTGGCCGGACCTGTGAAGGAACAGAACTCTGTTTGAGAGCGGCCGATTAGCCACTACACCATGGCGGATCACATGTACTCACTCGGGGACATGGACTTTGTGACCCTCGTTGCTGATGACGCGTTTTGATCAGTGAGGAGTGTGTGCGCCATTATCGCCGCACGCTTTTTCTTACGCTTAGTAATTTGACAATTAGACATTCTTGACAAAACTATCGCATCCGGTAAAACTGTTAATTGATGCCACTCAAATGATCAATCACACAGAAAATTATGCGAACATCGATTGTAATGTTAACGATGTCTTTTATTTTTTAGGCGATTAAGCTGCCAAGAAGAAGCATAAAAACGCGAACCATGAGCACATACGTCTCCTCAATGGACCACTTGATGAAGAACCCTTCTGGTCTTCTTCTTCTTCTCCCTCCTATCCTTCCCATCGTCTCCCTTGCCCCCCTTCCCCTTCTTTCCCTTCTTCCCCCTCTTCACCTTCACCTCCACCTCCTCCACCGGCGCCAGTCCGCCGGGAACCAGCCACACCAACGGGCCCTCCCCCATACGCTCCACATTCGCCTTCAACTTGCGCATATTCTCCACGCGGCCGGGCATCTGCGCCGTCCAGCGGTCGCCGCGCATCTCCCAGTCCAGCTCCAGCGCCGCCACAATCGCGCCGGCGGAATACTCGCGCCCGTACCACGCGGCCACCAGCGGGCTGAAGCGCTTCGCCATGTACTTGCACAGGCGCAGACAGTTGTCGGCGGCCTTGAGGTAGTCCGCGTGCACGTACTCCGATACGTTGGGGGGCGGGAAGGCGAGAGGGTCGAGGGCGTGCCCGATTTGGTGCGCGGCTTTGCTTTGCAGCATTTGGTGGTAGGTCAGGATGAATTGGTTGCAGAGCGAGCGGACGTCGGGGGAGAGGCTGATGGCGGGGGGGGTGGGGTAGGCGAGAGCGGCGGCGTTGGCTATGTAGGCGCTCGCCATTTGTGCTGTGGGGTCGTTTGTGTGATTGTTGTGGTTGTTGTGGTTGTTGTGGTTGTTGTGGTTGGCTTACGCGGTTCGTGTGTTGTTGTGGATGGTGGTGAATGAAGATTCGATTTGCTGGTGTGCGGTTAGCTTTATTGGGATTGTGCGTCCATAGAATGAGTGGAGATTTCAATATTTGCCGTCTATGTTCAGTGTGCAAATCGCGTAACGCAGCATTGAAATCTATCACTGCAATAGAAATGGTAGGGATAATGGGCTGTAGTGTGTGAAGCTCACTCCCAAGGCTCGCTGCATAACAACAACCAAGTATAATGGATGTTCACAGTCTCCTTTGTTGAAGATGAGAGCGCGAAAATTTAGAGTAATTGTGTTATTCAGAGTTATGAACATAGAAGGTGTCCAAACCCCGGGAGTAATAGGTGACGACCGCCTTACATCACATGAATAAGCGATAATTCTAAACCGAGTGATCCACCATGCCGAATCACCACTTCCAACATCCTTCAATTTAAATGACAAACCTTGAATTGCAAACACAACCCTCCTGGGCCTCTTACATGTTCTCACAAGCCTAGCTCAGGAGTTCTTGCTAGCTCTTAGCACCTCATACTTCGGTAGTAGTATCAACAAGCTGCCGAGAAACGAAGTGTGTGACTTGACAAGTAGATAAAAAGTCCGGGCACGAGAAAAGCTGTCATTTCCCATTCAACTCTTGATCCTTACCGTGTACACACCCAAGTAGCGTGTTATCCAATATCTGTAGAAATTGGACAGTTCCGGCAAGGAGAAACTAGTGTAAGCAGCATCGTGGTATTCTGTGATTTGATTTTGACTTCTCCCCACGAAATCCCATCATGACGTAGCACTCTGCATAATTTCAGGCTCACACTGTCAACAGAGAAATTTACCGAAAAACACAGTACGATTAGTATGTATATATCCGCCAGGGCTTTTGTTACACACGCGCATCCTGCGTAAGCCAAAAAACAACAGCATAATGATCTTTGTGATCCTATTCTGATTAGATAATAAATTACCAATCGTCCAGGCCGTCTGAAATCTTGCAGACATCGTCCGTCACACAGTGACACGATAAAATACAAAAAGGATATTCCGCCACCGGGAATTGAACCCGGGTCTGGCCGGACCTACTTTGAGGAACTCTGTATGAGAGCGGCCGATGCTAGCCACTACACCATGGCGGATCATGTCAATGTTGCAGGGTCGTAAGTATATATTTGCAAAACGAACGACGTAACATCATAGCACCCATCTAAGATTGCACCCTTCTGAATCTATCTTCTGAGTAGAAAGGCTGACAGCGAGACCAAGGGAGCTCGGTTGTTGGAGCTACACACGGCGAAAATTCCCCGCATCAGAAGATTCGCCTTGGGAATCAGCGTGGCCGTGTTGTAGCGTGCCATCCAAGCCATGTTTATTTCACTCCTTGAACGGCTTGCACAGAAGATCTCATAAATCAACACTATTTTAGACAAAAAAAAGGCCATTGAATATGGTAGTCTATACATAAGGAAAACCCAGACGCCCCCCAAACTCCAAACTCCAAATCAGTCCCTACTCGCTCTTTCCATTCTCCTTAACCGCCTCCTTAACATCCTCAACCACCGTATCACCACCCGCGCTCGTGCCATGTATCCAATCCAGCACGCCCCATGGCGCAAAGTTCCCCTTGCCGCCTTTCGCAAAATGGCGATCAGTTCTCTTAGTCGCCCCTCCTAGCATGCTGTACACCGTGCTATACCCAGAGTATGTCGTCACCTCCTCCACGCTCACAATCGCAAGAAACAGGTACCACGTCAACAAATGAAATCGAAACAACACGGCGGGGGCATAAATCGGCAACCACCGCGCGACGAGGTACACAATGGGGTGGTCGTAGTGCGCTACCGTGCTCCAAGGAGCCTTGACTCCCATCTGCCAGCGGTTGTGCAAGCGCGCCAGCATACCATCGCCATGTAGAAATACACGGTGGATATAGTAACCGCTGAGCTCGCGCAGCAGTACGGCGCGGAGGACGCCCCAGAGAATCTCGCCCGGCATTGGCAGCGTTGATGCAATTCGCAGAGCGGATTTGCGTCCCATCCCAGTCGTAAGTGAATATTCGACTGCGCCCTGAGCGGCGACGCCGAGGAGGGTGTTAAATAGTGCCCATCCTAAGACGCGGAGGCGCTGGCCGCCTGGGGCGATTCCTCCTGCGCCCCGGAGCTTGATGTTGCGGGCGAGGGATGGGAGAAGCGAATCGAAGAGCTGGAAGAGGAGCGCAGGGGTCCAGAAGAAAAGGATGCGGATGATGAGGGTGCCGGCGAGTTCGATGCGGATCGGTGGGTGCGAGAGGAGGAGTGTTGACCAGGTTAAGTAGAAGAATAGCAGGTTAAGGGAGGTAGACCAAGAGGTGGAGGAGGTGAAGAGGAGCGAAAGCCCGGAGAGGGTGACCAGCATGTCAAACATAGCGGTGGTAGTGTTTCAAACGGCGCGTTATGTTATTTTGCGGGCCGGATAGCACGTTCGGATTCGAGACGGCGTGTGAGTAATTATCGCGTTAATAGTGGCGCCGACGACGATGTTGCTCGATGTGTATGAGAGAAACAAACAGTATTCAATTCAGGAGGCACAGTGATACATATCTGTTTTTCACTCCCAGAGTTCGAGTCGCCGCCACTGTATCCGGTTTGCTGGCAGACCCTGACGTGACGTCACGCTGAGGAACCACGTCGCAACGATTTCCACGCGCTGGTTGGCCATTGTGATTCCAACTGCATCCCACAACACGAAAAAAAAAGGGTTTGCTGGCAGTGGTAAAAGTTTGTCTCGAGCCATAGGGAAGAGGTGAGGAACAGCGGATGAGGGAACAGATCGTTAGTGTAATGGTCATAAGTAAGCGAGGTAGTTGGGGAGCACGGGCCGCACGGGGGATAGAGATGCGATTATCTAAGCGGCACCATTGTCATTCCACGTGGAGTGGCAGTTTGCCCTACAGATTCGAATACATGAGATGCCAGGAGACCTGAGCCGCCCATTGCACATTACCAAAATGAGGCAGAGTGCAGCATTGACAATTCCAATAATGGAAACCTTACAGTTTGTCGAGCGCCGACTTGCTTAGTGGCTAGAATTAGAACCACAAAGTCACACATATATATATATACTTGCTTGTTCAATTTAATCATTAATATGCCTAGGTTTTGCCAAAACTTCCCGCACGGTCCCAGCGAGTGATATTTCATTTCATTGAAAATCACTCGCTCCGACTGTCCGACACAAGTAGAGGTAGCATTGCCAATCAAGCTACCCTATAGTACCCGCTCACCCCTACTTCTTCAACAGCACCAGCACACTTCTGATCCCTCGGTAACCTTGGCTTCGGGTCTCCACGTTCTTTGCCCGCTGCATCCGGGAAGTAACGCGTTTTGTGGTATTCTTTGTCATGCATGGACTTCATGTGCTTAGACAGATTTCCTTTGTCCCTCGAAACAGCACCGCAGATCTCGCACCTGATGCCCTCGCCTCCGTGAAGCCACTTGACGTGGCGGTTGCGGTCATGAATATTTGGGAATGTCCAGTCACAGGTGGGGCAATGCTCAGGACGCGTATGTATCAGCAAGTGCTTTTTGAGTAGACTTGGGCGTGTGAACCGCCGCGGGCAGTGGGAGCACGGGTATCGGTTGGCGGGGTTGCATTGAGCTGGAGTTGGAATGCGCGGGCGGGGCTGGTTATTGCCTAGGGGTGTAACACCAGCAGCGCGTTGAGAGGGCGATTTAACCGTATTTATGGAGCTTGGGACCGTGCCCTCAATCGACCCTAACGTGCTCGGAACGAAAGTAATGGAATTGACTAGAGGAGGAGGTGGTTTGGGGCTGTGAGCAACCGTTGCTATCTGCGCTGGGTTGGTGTCTTTAGATAAAAGCGCAGGGTCGATATGCTGCTTGTGGGGGGGCAGCTGCAGCTCGTCATAACGAGGTGCACGGGCTGACAAATAAGTGTGTTGGTCGTTAACTTTGCAATATATACTACCAAAGTCGTCCTCGGCAGCGGGATCGGCTTTAGATTGATCTAGTAATCGTGAGACGTCGACGGCAATGGCGTTGCCTATATGGCTGCTTTCGGGGTTGCCTTCGGGAGAGTGTTTCCCAGATCCGTTTACCGAGCATGGGTTGTTCATTTGTCTATCCCTATTATATTCATATATATATCTAGAATGTTTTTATTAGAAGTTTCATCAAGAATGAGACTTCCAGTGGCGTGGCCTACAGGTATTCTTGCTGCAACGCCTTTAGTAATGCAAAGTCGTAGCTAGTGTCTAGTTCGATTGGCATCGCAGCGAGATATTGCAGGCTAAGGATAGATTAATGCACAGGTATTAATATCTCTCGCGGGTGGGTGTTGATGCTCGAGGCGGTATCTAGACGAACTATCAGATCTATATTTACTCTCAAAGGCAAATCAAATTCAAGTACCTGCAGTGCCCAAAGACAAATCAAATAAATATCGATGTCGTCCTCAAGCATTTCAGTGAATATTCCGGAATGGCCGTTGCCCTACCCTCGCACCTTAGCTAGCTACGGTGTAGAGTTAATTAAGCTGCAAGTTGTGGGTTCGGATGTCGTAGTAGTAAGCAAAATTCTAGTCGATCTAGCTATTCGGTAGGTGAAAACTTTTCAGGAGATTCTGAAGGACTGGATCACCTTACTGGAGCGCATAACCACCATTCTAAATACTTGTGAGTTGCCTAGCAGCTTTTATTTTTTGATCGACGTCGTCTTGGCGTTCATGCATCCCCTCAGCCCTACAGTGCACAGCCGACTTTTCAAAAAAGACATGCGCACGCACGATAAGCTATCGCAAATCCTAGCTAAGTCTGTATATCTGTCTTGAGATTATTCGCGGGAAGGGGGTTTGTTTCTCTTCTACATAGCCTGTAAATTTTTCTTTCGTCATCTACTCTGCGTAGCGAGTATTTTTGCGGGGTGACGGCCGGGCCGGACCGTGGACTTGGCCCGCACTTTTCCAAGCCTCGTCCCGCAATTTTTGTTACCTCGTAGCTAGTTTTTGAAGTAAGAGCTTTCAGCATAATGTGGGGTACCAGCCAATCACAATGGCTAAGACGCTTGCCTGAGCCAGGTTTGTGACGTATTTCTGTCATAAGGCCTCGGTAAATTCGCTAGGTGTTAGTATACCTGCACAGGCTCAGTTACTCATCCAACTGTAGATCTGCTTTAACCCACGTAGTACAGTCACTGTGCCCAGGTTGGCACCCCGGTCTTAACGACTTGCCGCTGTACTTTTTTTTCTCTCTTTTTCGACTTCAATCTTTTTTTCCGCATCATTGACGACCGGAGCAGAACTCTCTGTTGCCGTGTCTAAGAGTGAGTCGATTTTAGTACGTAAAATAGGCGGTTCAGCAGGCTGATCAACAGATCTATTAGAAGTACTAGTAGGTTGATATTTGGGCCTGGTATCTGCAACCTTAGCTTGATCATAGCTCTAGAGCGGCCCATCTTGAAGTAGAGTACAGCTTGCAGTAACTAGCCCAAGCAACTGCGTGTTAAAGCCCTAGTGTCCTATTGGTTTTCCATGGAGAGCCCTATCTCCTCTCGCTGCCTTGCTATGGACACGACGGGCCAGACTCTGTGCATTTCAGTGCTTGTGATTGGCTTGAAAAGAGGGATCATGCACGTAAATTCCACCCCAAGGCTGTGGTATGCATTACTGCGGCGCGGAAGCGCGAACAGTGCGAAAATCGATCGACTAGGTAGAAATCGGACTAAATTACAGGAAACCGCATAATTAGCTGCAAACTCCAATTGCAGCTGCTAGGGAATACAGGTAATCGTGTTCGCTATCAGGGGAAAGACACTGGTGCACTACTTTCTGTATTCTCAAAGTCGCAACTATGAAGATGATGAAATGGCTCAAGAACATTGGTAGAACTACATAATTAGATTTCCAGTTGAATCGAGTTAATCACATAATATGAATATTCTTTCATAAATGCCTAACGTAACTCCGTAAAACAATTTGTTTACTATTCCACCAGTGGTTCCGCCGATTAGCTAGGCTGCCCAGATTCATTCACAGATGACCACAGAAACTTGTACTAGGCTTTGGTTAACCGAATGTACAGCCTTCCAGAGCTTTGCCTAATGTTTCGAAGTGATCATCAGCCACCCAAGACAGGCCGAACCTT